GTTTGACGTTTGTCAGCAATATCATTCAAAAATTCAAAACTCAAACTGTTTTTAACCGACGAAGGGTTGAAAAACTTCTTTCGGAAGTAGCGTTACTAGCTGAAAGTGTGACCAGAATGCGGAGAAGTTTGTTAATCAATGGAAAAGCATATTCGTCGCATTTACCAAGAACTTCTGCTGCTGATTTTGGGAGTGGCTTTTCGCTTTCCTTATTTGTCCATCGTTCCAACCACACTTTATACTCTCCTTCTAAATTGATACCGTCTTTTTCTAAAAAGATTTCGTATCGTTTTCCAAGCGATTTTGCGCGTTCGATAGCGTTATTTTTTTCGTCAGGCGTATTATATTCCGCAATTTTAGTTGGAAGTAATAAGATCAAATCAAAAATGTTTAATGTCTCTTTCGGCAATCTTTCTCGGCGATCGAGCAAAATATTATCCAATAGCGGTATAAATATTGCCTTTCGATAATAATCTTCAGCGTCAGACGCACGATAATTAGCCCGAAAATTTTGTCTATTCGCTCTCCGAGGAAGAAAAATGTCAAAATCCAATTCCCTAGCGATATCGGTATCTTTTGCAAATATATCAGAAAAATGTGTGTCAGCGTTTTCTCTATAATTTCGAATAATATTGACAGTGCCATTGACTGCTTCGCTAGCATGGTTCAAGTCAAGCGAGGGCGCTTGGACAAGTAAACTTAATGGTCGCGTTACCGAAAGTACGTCACGCAAACAAATCATTGAAATGATAAACTCTGCCTCACATATTAATTTTATTAATGAAAGGGCTTCTGATCTCGTTATATGGTCTCGCCAAGTTGAAATTATGTCCAAAACTCCCACGATTTTTGTGATATTGCTGTTGAACTGCATTATTCCATCATGCTTCTCTGACCAACGCGTTTCACATAGTCTACTCAAAGATTCATTGGAATACTTTTTGAATGTATCGAATCGTTTAGGTGAAGCATTCATGAAATTTATGATCTTTTTCATCAATGCAATGCAATCTTTCGCTTGGTTGACGTGAGAAGTTTTGTCAAGTGAATTATTGATTGCGCGGTTGAAACAAGGGCAACGCTTAGCGCAAGGACAATATTTTATAATTTCCCGTACGGCTCCTTTGATTTCTAACGCCATAACAGAACAACTATCGGTACCGATTCAAACACAATCTTTCAAAGGAAGTCCAAACTTTTTAAGTAGATCGACTACGATGTGAGCTATTGCTACACCAGATAACCTTTTCTCTTCACCACTAATATCCTCTGTGCGGATCGAATCATAAGCATCAATAAAAGTAAGAAAATCTTCTCAGATTATTCCATCATAAATGTAACGCAGAGAGAGAGAAGTTGTTCAATATGTGCTAAATCTGTTGATTCGTCAAACATGATCGCATAAAACTTCGCTTTTCTCACCCTGTCTATAATAATATTTTAATTTTCTTCTTTGCAACAACCAATCAACTCGTTTTGAGTAGTTTTGCTAATATAAGTGATGACGTATTTTCTAAATGTTCCTTCAACACAGTGTCACCAGCAGCAACTTGTAACTTCAAAATAGCCCGAAAGTTAGGTACCTTCGTTCAGCAAAGAATTAGAAATATTTAATCGCGATGGCCTCTTAGTGCAATATTTTGACGTCCGCAGAAAATGATTGCGTCGATTAAGGAGTTATTATTTTTCAGTTTTCTTTAACTTGGGAAATGCGATGCGTAGAAACTAAATTTGGAATGTCTTTTTCTGGATTCTCATAGGATGTGATGAAATTTCGAGCACTGCTAACAGCATACATATGATACTTATTTGCTGCATCTACCAGATAATTTTGCAAATGATGTTAACGGTGCCTTTAGGAGTTTATTTAAAGGTACGTGTGATTTGGGATCACCAGTTTTACTTGCAAACAAAAAACAGTATTTGCAGAAACAGCCTTTTGCGAAATCAGAAAAAAAAACACTTATTCTCAATCAGATAATGACGTTGAAAATAACGTTTCTCAGACTTTCCTTTTTTCGTATGAACTGAATAAGCAAATACATAGTCATTTGGTGGTGTCCAAAGCTCCTTAAGTAATTTATGCTTGGTATATTCGTCCAACAAATGTTTGCTGTCTACAAAAGCGCCAATGTCAAGTTTGTTCAGAACGGATTGCTGACCTAGAATAACTTCGCCATGAGAAGTTGATGCATGAATATTACAATCGGGAAGAAGAGGTGGGGCATCGATATAAATTTCACCATCTTTCCCGACCGCACTGCCTTGGATTCGATCAACATTTTGGCTGACTTCCAAAACGTTCCAATACAAAGTTTGGATACTGTTCTACTGCGGTATTTAAACTCTTTGCATATGCAGAGTAGCGAAACATTGCAACCATATACATTGCATATTTGGAATATTTAATAAAACAATAATCACCATTTCGGAATTTTGCATTTTCAAAACACCAATGGTAACCAATAACAAACGAAGCATCAACTTTGTTTCTGATGCGCTGATTGCGCTAGCAATGCGTTTCGATAACTTTTCGGAGGGTTTTGGAAAAGTGTACATTGTCAAAAAATTGTAGTTCGGCGTTATGGAACATTAAACTTTGTACGTATGCAATGCAATTGACGTTTTGGAAGTCAGCCTTTCTTTTTCGGCACCAATCACTTCAGTTTGCGATTTGTGGAGCTTAGTAAAATACGATGCGATGCTTTTCGGAGCCTTTCTTTTTTTGTTTTTTCGTATAGCGTCTTCCTCCTGTAAAATAAAGATTATTTATTAGATATTATAAAAGATTTTACCACAAAATAGTTACACATTATCAAGCTAGATATAACGAGTAATTCTACATGATTTTGCCAAAAATTTCGTTTTTTTAGTTATGAGAGTATTTTAGTAAATAAGCCTCAGGAGTCTTTCCATCGGTTTTGAATCATATAAAATTTCGAATTAATTATTTGTATTATTAAACATCGATGTGTTTGATTGTTAGTAAAATATGTACTTATAAATCCAAGATTCAAAATATGTGCAATATTTAAATAAGGAAAACTTAGTATTTTTTAATTCAAAGTCAAACAAACTAAAATAACTTAAGTTATTTTAATAAAATTACATAGATATGTACACTGGTGGACCTTAATATAATTCAAAGATATTCTAATATGTATGGTATTTTATCAAACTGACTTTATTTCTTGTCACTTTCAGCAGCAATTAATTTCATTTAAAGAAGCGGTGTTTTGTGCAGTTCCGCTTCATGATAGTGCGTATTTTTAGGCGCAGTAATAATAGTGCGGTTGTTAAATATTCAACTATTTCCGGCGAGATAGACCAGCAGCCGTATTCTAACAAAGTCACAAACCTTAGCTCAACACTGATGTGATTTCTACTGCCGCTACAACACTAAAGCGAAGAAAATAAAAACAAAATCATTTTAATTTGACTTGGACACTTCGCTTGAATTCTTTGTGCTGACATATCTACACATTTTGTATCTTTGTGAACACGTTGCTTTCTTTCTCTTTTCCCCTTTATCTATGCTATATTTTCCTTCTTATTCATTTTGCAAAATCAGTTTCAAAAATTTCACATTTCCATTTACGACATCGTCACCTAAGAAGTTTTACTTTAAATATTATTAAAATTAAATAATAAAAAAATAATAGTCAAAACCTGTCAATATGTGGGTGGCGTACAACGTACAAATGCGATAAGCACTCTTGCAATACAATTTAACCCTTCGCGTCAAAATGACCCAATTTTCATGAAAAAATTCTTTAATTACAGAGTTAGGTTATTTTAAATAAGCTGCGGCGTTGTCTATTCGTTAAAAGCACAATCAGCTATGGTTTTGCAAACAATTAAAGAGTTTTTTATTTTACATATTTTGTTTTCTAGAAGGCGACATAGTTTTTCCATTATTATTTGCACATGATATATAAAATATTAACAATTCAAATTGAAATATGTTTTTTTTTCTTAAAATTGACTAATTCCTATTATTGGGTCAAAATGACCCAAAACATTAAAGAAAGGGGTAAACTCCAAACAATGCAGAAGGGTTAATTTAAAAAGTAAAGTTTTTTCATTGATTAAAGCTGATGAGATTCTGAATTTAATCACATTATAAATATAAACTTTAAATAAACGATTAAAATAAGAGATGCAAAATAAGATCTTAGATCCATAAAAGTCTATTCCTTTTCAAAGTACATATTATGTACACTCATACAGTCATGTAAAAATTAATAGGGACACGATATTTTGACCAGTTTGGGTATTTTTTCATTGTTTGTTTACTGTTTATTATTTTTGTATTAAAAAAAAAAAAAACAGCTCAGTATCTAACAAAAACAGTATAAGTGCAGATTTCAAACTTTGTAGAAATATTAGAAAAATTCAGCAAACAATTTTTACAACAAAGTTTTTATTAAGATTTTCTAGAAAAATTCTAGGTATGCAGTTTTAGTCTAGCTTAAGAAAGTGCAAGTTTCAAGTAGCTAAAAATTCGCGTTGATTCGCGATTGCACCCGCAGAGACCAGAGGAAAATGGTCACGCTTTACCATTACGGTTTTATCAGGCTATCGAGGATGTCCTGCGATCTATTGGTACCACCAGTGGAGAAAGATTGTGCTTTTGTATTGATTCCTCTGCTTTTCTTATGATTTGTTCGCCAGTTTTGGGAGAATCTGAGAATTCAAGCCATGAACGAGCACTCAACACAAAATTTTATTAGGTTATTGGCCATTCGGCAAAAATATTTGGACAATGTGGTCCATTTATGCTATATTGCAGTACACACTTACAAAATGTTCCTCTGTGATGCAGTAGCGGCCCAACTCGTGTCCTAATGCAGAGCTAGAGTATATGGTCCTGCCCTAGGACATCGCAATGTTAATTGGACCATATTTTTATATGCATTTGGGTTAATTTTGGATACTCCTTGAACCTTAGGGATACTCTTTACATGAGTGCATGGGGTACCTAGTCGCGTTTTTGCATTGTAGCTTAAGACACGTACAAACATACACACATATGAGCGGCCGGCAAAGCGACGAGAATAGCGAAGAAAACAACAACAAAATTACTTCGATTTGACTTCAACCCGTCGCTTGAATTCTATCCGCTGACATATTTACGCACGTAGACTCTACGTCGGCACATAAACACACAAATGCGCATTGGCTAGCTTAACATACGTACATATGGATGTACATACATACGTATGGCTGCATTGTGGCGCCGCCGGCAAAGCGACAATAAAAGTGAAGAAAACAAAAACAAAATCACTTCAATTTGACTTCGAGACTCGCTGGAATTCTATGAGCATACATACATACATGACTACACACTTAAAGGCAAATAACGTACAAATGCCTATTGTTTTTGCTGTTGTTGTCACGTTTTTCGTTTCATCGAGTTTCAAATCACTCCCCCGCTTAAGAAGTTTTCACTTCAAAAAAATAATAGACAGTAAACAAACAATGGAAAAATAGCCGCAACTGGTAAAAATGCGGGGTCTTTATTGTTACTGTAGGTAAGAAAGATAAATTTTGTAAAGAAAATTTAAAAAATACTTACCATAATTGACACAGATTTCCAGGATCGATTTATTCTTTGCACTTCTTCACAAATATCGAAATACCGAAACTTTATTTGTACTTAATCGTAATGAACCGCGACACGAATTTACACAATAGAAATATTGTACTTCGTATACTCAAGAATTTTCTACCAAAAATGAGCTACGCCAACGATGCAGACAAGTGTGCACGCCGCACATTCACGAGGTGGCGCCTCCAGCAGTACCTCTATTTTCCTTGTCAAATTTGATAGAATCAGCTATTTGCGTGACGTCAACAGAAATGCTTTGTTCTCGTTCAGTAGTTATGATAATTGTAATAGTAAAATTTGTTTGCTATCAAAACAAGCAGAAGGACTAGCAAAAAATTTGCGTAAAATAGTTACTGCTGATTTCTACTAGCTTGGCGTGTCTTTGTTCATCTTTATAAAATACGCTCTTATAATATAAATTTATAAAAAGGTAATGAACTGCTATGAAAATGTTTTTAATTTTTATTATATTTTTCAAGTCATTAATATTTTTATGCGCATACAAATGTCTGCTTACACAGTTGAAAGTGAAATTTCCTACATACGTGCACCGCGGAAATAGAAAAAAAGTAGTATCAGAAAGTTCTATTGGACATACATATGTACATACTAACGATGAAAATCGATGGATAAATAAATAGGTTTTCAATGGTCAAATGAATATATGCAATAATTTTTTGTATGAAGTAGGAGCGGGAAATAATGTTACTCATACGCCATATCGTACATGGCCGTAATCGTAAATATTCGTAGATGGCGCATGAGTAACATTTTCTATGCAGAGACCGAAAATAATAATAATAATAATAATTAATGTGAACCAGCATTAAACACATTGCAACTTTTCCTATCATTAACCATTTATTTTTTACTTTTTGTGATATATCACTCTGAAAGCGTTTTATGCGAGGGAGCTTACGATTAATGACTGTGAGAAATAGAATCGCAAACGAAAATAAAAAAGGCCAACCGCAGTTATTGATGATATTGATATATGAATTTTTTTTTGTTGAAAAGGTGAGTTAGTAAATTTAATTATGCTGCAGAGAAAATATATGATGAAAATGCAACGAAGTAAAACAAACTATAAAGAATAGTAAGTAGAACTATTTTTATTCACTCAAATAATCACCGTTATAAATTTTGTTTTACAAACTTTACATACTCAAACTTTTTTAACACTACTCGTATCCAAGTCAAAAAAGCTGCGGAATTCAACGCTTGATTTTCGGTCCATCTTCCCTTCAATAAGTAAACTATACTACCTAGAAGCAAACTACGGAAGCACTTCACTCAGTATTTTTAACATACCTACTTGGATACCGTAGAATTTAAAACAACGGTCAATTCGAAACGTAAAAACACATCAAATCAAATAAAAGTCTAACCAATGCAGATAAGCCAAAAACTTGTTATGAAAGTTATTGTAAGTGATTTATTTTTTTAACAAGAAATAAATGACAATTTGTGGCACAGCAATAAGTGGGCCGGTTATTTTCGGTCTCTGTTTCTATGTTAAAGTTTTTTTTATTTGCAATGCAAACTTAAAATGAAAATGTATCGGGAAAATTACCTGATCTACAAAAACGGTATACAGATCCGTAATCTATGGCCCAAAATTAAGCTCTGCGCTTTTTTTGTCATTTCAGCGTTCCTAAAGTATAATAGGCAATCCAACCAAAGATTATTTTATTGTAGGAAATAAAAACTAAACAAAACTAAGTGGTTGGATTTTTGAGATGAGCATTGTTCCGTTCAGCGCATATATAGTTTGCTCGCAGAAAATACTGTAAAAGCTCTCTTTTACACAGTGATTTTTTATTTTATTGACATGAACATTTTATTCTAAAGATTGTTTCCCAAATAAACTCATTTTTACAGCTTTTTAGTATAATTTTACGTTTATATTTCTTGTTAAATTTTATTTATACCGTAATGAATTTGAGGTGCTATTTTATACACCTTCACTACCTGGTACCTGTCAAAGCCACCACTATCCAAATTTCATAGTCTGGGATCGTTATTAACCGTGTTGGGGGCATACATATAGAAGCTCTCAGCCTTTATAAAATAACGAAGGTCTGGCCGTCGCGGGCTCTTGGACTAATACGTAGTAGTTACATAAATTTTCTTTTCGTTTTAATTTAATTCATAAAGTTTTAGTAGTGATTCGCTCACTGGATGCTCTCGCTCGTTGCTAAAATCGCTCATAATTGCTGAGACTGATTTCGCTGCATAATAAACACCTTCATCGCGCTACGCGATTTCGCTGTGTAGTAAACAGCCTAAATAAGAATATGAGCCGTGTTGCGTTTGTTGCTTTTAGTTGTTTCTGTTGTGTAATTTAGAGAAGTCGAAAGCTTAAGGCTGTTGTAACAATCTATTGCTTTGTTTTTTAGGCACCCGTAAAACTTCAATTAAGTATTTAATAATTTTTAAAGGATGAAAACACATTTTAAAACCAAGGATACAATTGAATTGTAATATAATCCATTCATTTCAGGTCGACTTTCTGTTTTAAGCACGCAAACTAATCAAACTTTGACCAATGCAAATATGAAGGATGTCTACGATTTTAATATACCGAACCTTATGGATTTAGCACCTTTAAGGTAACTTGTTAACACATTGTATTATTGCACCGTTTTCTGTAACACTATTTCTATAACTTATTAAACAATAATAACCAAGACAGTTGTTATTCCTCACCTCTTTGGGGTTGTAGTCCTAAGGCAAGATAATTTATTTTATGATTAAACCACTTAATATTGAGACAGCAGAGTTGCATCTGCTAAACATTAGGCAGCCGTGAGGATACCGAAAACTGTGAGAATATAAACTACAAGATATTGTCTTGTCATAAATATTCTAATTTTATTTAACAATATGAAACCTGTGTATTTATATAAAAATTGTTTGGAAAGTCACTTCCATAACTACGCCTTTTTTCCACGCTTCATGACTTAAAATTTCTAGTTGTAAACCAGCCAATCAAAAGAGTGCATACAGCTAGCAGCGCATGACGTGATGCCGAAATATTCTGCTTGCGCAAGGGCGGCGTCGCATAGTGGTCGGAGAAGCTGTTTTATGCGAAAAATTAGAAGGGCTGCTGCGATTATAACAAACCTGCTGTATCGGAGAATTTTTGTTATGCTAAATCCGAATATGCCATACAATTTTTAGTTTGACAATTGACAGCTGTCAAATCAACTGCCAACTAGGAACACGAATTTCGATACGATACGACACCATATCGATACTTTTGGCATTCGATACCGGATATTTTTTTATGATATTTTTTGAATCGAGTACCAGAACCCTACTATCGTATCGCATGTCATAAACTCAAATTACAAAGATAATGTGATTAATAATTCTTTCCGATATAAATTGTGCTTTAAAAAACAGGAATTTTTTACTATCGTTAGGATTGCATGTGGCGGGATTTGAACACGCGGTCTCGGTGTTTTAAGTCAACACCTCAATCTCTACGTGTAAAAATAGTAGATTGTCCCTTACACAATAGTTGCAAATTTGCTAATGTAATTTGGAAATGAACGATACAAAATTAGCCGGTATACATCTTTAAAATTTTTAGAATCACCGGAAAAACAAACAAAATGCGCGCCTCCTCTTTGAAACACTTTTCGAACAAAAGAAGAATAATTCAGATCGGTTGAGCAACATAGGAGCAGTAGGGAGGAATAGATTTGTATGGGATTTCGTTAGCGTATTACTAAATAGATAAATGCAGAAACGATTAACCGGTTTGCTGTGCAACCGAGACGTCTACTTTTTAAATAATTTTTGTAAAACAAATCGGCAAGTACATATCGTTCCCCGCATGCCAGAAACATGAGTGTGTAAAAATTAAAATTTTAGGAAATCAAGTTTGAATTTTTTACGAGACTTAACTCTGCATTTATGTAATTGACATTGTGAAATATGCGGTTTCCGTGTACGCACGATATTCTGGGTTTTGGTATAACATAGGACATAGGTTAATCAAGTCAACCCAATAACTCAAAATTGATAAATTTGCACATTCATGCTTCTGGAAAAGGGCGACGATATGTATTTACTTCACATTTATTAATTTTTTATACGCCTGGCTTACATACATATCATCGTAGTAAGAAAATAGTAGTCATATTTCGACACCTGAGTGGAAGATCAACCTATCTGGTAGCCAGTTCGAAAACGTCCTATATCAGAAAACTTTTCAAGAACGCCTTACTTCAGAATTTGATTGAAGAACTCCCTATTGCAGAATTTTATTGAAAACACCCTATCCCAGAATTTGGTTTAAGAAAGCCTTATTTCAGATTTCGGTTCAAAAACGCCCTATCTCAACTGAAAATGTATTGAAAATGTGATGAGATAGGACGCTTTTGAACCGAGTTCTGAGATAGGGCGTTCTTGAAAAGTTTTCTGAAATAGGGCGTTTTCGAACTGGCTGCCGAGATACGTCGATCTTCTACTCAGTTGTCGATTTCCAGTTAATATTCCTCTATTTGCATGAAAGCAAGTGAAAAAATGTAAGTTTGGTACTTCACTCGACTTACTAAACTAAATTTATATTTGACTATTAGTTAAGATTGTCTTTTCAAATGGAAATATTTAGTTTACAAATTTGTATGTATTAATAAGGATTAGTCAATCAGCTACATTAAAAAATTTTAACCCTTTCGGTACATCTTTTTAGATTCGGGCTTTAAAAATCGATTTTTTTATTAAATGATCTTTAATACTTAACTTAATAACATTCAATTTAATTTTTTTCCAAAGTGTTTTTTAGAATGATGCCATATGGTGAAAAAAATGCGCAAAGATTTTTTAATATAGTATTTTATTTTATTTAAATTAAATGAAATAACACTACGAAAATTCAATAAAACAAGTTGGAAAATGCATAGATTTAATAATTTATTTAAAAAATTTACCAGTTGCAATTTACCAGTACAAATAAATCGTTATTTGCTGATGCGGATTTCAGCTCCTTCAAATATCATTGATGCCATATGGCATCATACAAATTTAAAAATATACCACGCGTTTATTAGGTTTTTTTAAATTAAATTACAAGTTCTAGCAATATTTGACACTATTTTGGAGACTATGGCCCCTATTGGGAGTGTCGACTGGCAGTAGAATAGAAATTTGTCGATCGAGTCGATCATCTTTTATTTTGCTATTGTGTAACTTGATCGATAAAAATTTGTACTATTGTGAATGGTGGCGGAATTGTAAACAGCTGTTTGTTTGTTTACATTTGTTTCTTTAATGTTTCATTTACATCACTTTTAAAATAATTGCTTTTATTATAAAATTTAAAAAATGGACACAGTTGAAATATGGTTTAGTGATGAGGAAGATGATGTGGAAGCTAATAGATATGTGAATTTTATGAATAGAAGTTGCGTTCCCGATGCTTCAAGGTTTTTAGGTTTTACAGGATTTGCAGGAAAAGCTGTTATCCTCATTAATAAATTTTATGAAAGTTTAAGAAATACGGTACCGTTTAGTTATTTGTACAATGATGTTGAGTATTTGTGTCCAAACGCGTGACCCGAGTTTTAAAACTTTACCATACAAGTGTAGTGAAAGAATTAAACTTTAATTTAACATAAAGATTTCAAGTTTCCGAGCATTAGTTAATTAATAAATTATGCAGTTTTTTGTAAACTTTGATGTTGGTTCTGCGCAAAAACACTGTGGATGGCGTAGCCGGAATTATATGCACAAGAAATATTGTATATCTTTCACAAAAGAAGCGGAGCTTCCTCCCCTGCTCTTTACGGAAATTCCTTTGCCTATGTCCTCACTCTCCTGCATCAGCTCGACCAACCGCGCAAGTTGCCTTTTGTTGCTTACAATTTTTTATCTGTAATTCAGACACATATGTACATACATATGTATATTTCACAATTATTAACAACTTCCAATTCAATTGACTTACTTTTTATCCATTATAGTACCACTTTCTTATGTAAATTTTATAAACGCAAACTCCAACGACTAAAAACAGCAATAGAAGGATGAGCGATTAAAAAGTATTCACAGTCGCTAATTGAGCGACTAAGCGACACTCACAATAGCATCGATAATCGATAATCGCTTAATAGTCGTTTATCTACTGCCAGTCGACACTCGCAATAGGGGTGTATAGCATATTTATTTATTTTTTTAATTTATTGGGTTATTTGGTAAAATATTGTATTTTAATGTAGACGTTTCTAAGCAGAAGAAAAGCGATATTTTAGTAAAGTTTTAAAATTGAAATTTTTCATCTACTATGGATACAAATAACAATACCGTACTAAAATATAGTCTATAAAACTTCCCATTACAGCGTTGCATATAAAAATATAATTTCAGATAAGCTCAGTTAAATTGTGAGTATTCAAAAAAGCATGACGCCATATGGCATCAAAATAGCGAAAGGTTTCGAGGGATTTTTTTTTTTATATGTCAGCCTTATTGCATGGTTGGTTTTTGCCACCTGTTTCAAAATTTTTTTAATTAAATTGGTAAGATAAACTAAATATTGCAATATGGGTATCTTACTACTGAAAATATTTTTGAGTCGGGTTGCCACCAATTTCGAAAATTTAATTCAATTACGCTAATAAGATAAAGTATGTATTATAATATAGGTGTCAAACGAAAAGTATCTGAAACATTATTGATTAAGAAATATTTTTTATAGGCCTGCCACCTACCTGAGCGGTAAAAACTCGCAAATGTTATTCAAAGCTTTTGAGGCTCGCATCGATGTGGAATACTGTAACTCCGTCAAATTAGTGTTTATTGATGGCAAACAAATTACTATCATGTTTGGCAATGATATCCCCCATCAAACAATGCACTTAACCTCGAGATAAAAATAGAACAAAAGCCGAAGTATTAGGCGAAGCAGTTCATACGACTCTTTTATAGAAGCTGTGGACACTGCAGTAAATTTTAAACAAAAAACAAAACCGTCTTCAATTCTTATATACAAATTTAAGAGTACTGTTATTTTCTTCATGGCCCAATTATGGGATCTACACTCAATTAGTAGGAGACTACCTCTGAGGAACCACCTTTCCATTAAAAAAGAATTATAGAAAACGGGTAACGTAGTCCAAAGTTATGCGGTAACATACATAAAAAAATATTCCGACGAATTGATAAAATATGCAGGTTAATATTTAATAAACTGCTACGGATGTTTTTTTTTAATACAAACCTGTGCTTGGGAGTTTATTGATACGACAAATTTATTTCTGATATATATTTAAAGAACCGCAAGATTGCACTACAAAGTAAATTACATATTTTTTACTATTGTAACAGGAGAAATTACTGTATGTATTTTTTTATATGTACAGTGTCGAACAAAAGTTTTGGCACAGTGAATTTTCGCATTACATAAATGCAAAGTTTTTAACTATTTTCTGATAATTTTTTATAAAAACATAATTCATACTAGAGATGGGCACGGGACTAAATATTTAATCCCGACCCCGCCCATCCCGAAATTCGATTTTTAAGTCCCGAACCCGCCTATCCCGATATTTTTCTGAATTGTACCGCGGGTCCCGTGGGTCCCGATATCTATCTCTAAAGCAGGCTACACACGGACAACAAATTGAAACGAGCGGTTGAGATTACAACGTGTGTGGCGAGGTT